CATACTTTCTTATAATATTTGACATCTTTAGATAGCTTCTAGTAGTTTTTCCCAAATTTTATTAATTAGTGCAATAAATACAAAGTATATAATAAAATTAAGAAACATAAAATTTTTAAGATTTTTTTGAGAAAAATATTATTATTCACAAATTCTCACATTTTCTACAATTTTCGCTTCATTTGTTTGAACTTTTAGAACATAGAAATAAAATACATATTCATTTTTACAAAATAAAAATTTATTGAGAATAATGTATGTGCTCAAACATACTTCTTGACCCAAAAATTTTGGCCCAAAATCTGATATTTGTAGACCCATTTCATCTGGTCGGCAATTATGCCTAGACTAGGCCGACTAGTATCTATTGTGGTTGGTAAATGTATTGGTTTCAACAAAACATTTGCCAAAGAGCTGTTTTACCGACCCATTTCATATGGTCGGCAATTGTATCTAGTCAGGCCGATTAATAATTTTCATGGCCGGTAATTATTAAGGCGCCAAATATCCCACCAAAAAAGTTGACCAAAAATAAGACATTCTCTAATCTTTATAAATTGGTTGGGAAATGTGTCTCATTTAGGCCGACTACTATATTATCTTGGTCAATAAATGTTAATTCGCCAAATCCCCGTCAAATGCGTGGACGAATGATTAAGATATTCACCGGCTCATTCATTGTGGTCGGCAAGTACGTATAGTCTAGGCCCACTAATAATATTTTTTGGTCGGAAAATAATGTTTTTGGTGGCTAATTTTATATTGGCCGGGAAAGACGATTTTCACGAATCTTTCTATTTGGTCGGGAAAAAACTAGTCGACAAATGTATACCCAACTGAATTTTTTTATTAGTCAGTAATTTCGCCGACTAATATTTGGTTGTTCGAGAAAAACTGGTCGGCAAAACCATCATTTCTTGTAGTGGAAGTTTACTTTTCCTAGTGATCTAAATTCTTATCGCTAAAATAAGAAAATTGCCAGTGATTCGTAGTCTTCTGAGTGTTGTGATACTGAATTT